ATTTGCACAAGCTAAGTCCTTATTCTCATCTAAGCATACAATTTTCGTATTAGCTACCTCCTTTTCTTCTAAACATGCAATTTTCAATTTTAAGGACTCATTTTTCTTTTCGGATCTTCTTAGATTTTTCTTTACAACTTTATATTCTTTTTTCATATCCATAAATGCAGTAAATAACTCATTATAAGCATTTTGCAATTCATCATGGTCATTTTCTTCACTAGAGGATGAATCGGAATCACTAACCTCAAAATCCGAAGAAATGTTGTTATTTGCCATCAAGCAAATGTTTGCTTCAATTTCGAGTCGCTTGATTCTGAATTTGAATCACTTGTCATCCCAAGCAATATATGCTTTCTTCTTGAATTGCTTTTTGCCCTTGTGTTCATCATTTTTCTTGTTTGGGCATTCGGTCTTCATATGCCCCGCTTCACCACAACCAAAGCATTTTATATTAACGGAAGAATTTTCTTTTACCTTTCCCTTACCTTTGAAAGGATGTCTTCCTTTTGCTTTCATCATCTTGGTGAACTTTTTTATAAAAAGACTCATCTCTTCTTCATCAATTTCGGAGTCTTCTTCTTCTTCTTTCTTATTTTTGCTTTTTGAAATCTCGGTCTTGAAAGCTAGGTTCTTCTTTTGATATTGACCCTCTTCCTCATTTAGTCTTCCAAGGTCAAGTTCATGCTCCCTAAGCTTTCCAAATAACGCCGCCATAGACATAGTGGCAAGATTTTGTGACTCCGAGATGGCCGTCACCTTAGGTTGCCATTTCCTATCCAAAGATTTTAAAATTTTAACATTTAATTCATCAACGTCAAATACTTTACCTAATCCGGTGAGATGATTCACGATATGAGTGAAACGTTTCTGTATGTCAAATATCGTTTCGCCTGGTTGCATCCGGAACATCTCGTATTCTTGGATTAAAGAATTTTTACGTGCTTTTTTGACGTCGTCAGTTCCTTCGTGGGTCACCCTTAGCATTTCCCACATTTCTGTGCACTTTTACAAGCTGAAATTCTATAAAACTCATCAAGGGTTAGAGCAGATGAAATAATGTTTCTAGCCCTAACATCAAATTGTGCTTTTCGACTTTCTTCGCGAGTCCATCTAGAAATAGGTTTAAGAACGTCAACACAGTTCTCTCGTAATTTTAGGAACAAATGGACCATTTAAAATTGCGTCCCAAACGCCTCTATCAACGAGACTCTAAAAATATTTGCATACGTACTTTCCAAAAAGGATAATTTTGACCCGCAAAAGTGGGGGTCTGTTGATAGACGCACCTTCGGCAAAAGTTTGATTTTGTCCGGCCATTTTCGAAAATATTTGAATGACTATCAAAGCAAGCTCGATACCACTTGTTAGAATCGCGCAGCGAGAATGTTCGCGTGGTCGGACAAAAACCAAGAGGGGGTGAATTGGATTTTTAATAAAAATTAGGTTTTCAAAATTTTCCCCAAATTTTACCGATTAAAAACTGCGTAAATGTAAATAGAGAAGAGTAGAGAAGATTACACGGTAGGTTTATACTTGGTTCGGATCAAAAGACCCTACGTCCGAGTTGCTAATCACTCAAAAGAGGATTAACGCTGTCACTAAGAACAAATTGTTACAAAACAAATTACAAATGAACGAGATAAAGATCGAGAAAACACCTCTCTTGAAATCCACAAGAGATGAAGAACAACTTTCCCTAGAGACGGCACAGACACACAATCCACTAAGAACTCCACTTAGTGATTCTTATCGCTTCTAGCCTCACACCAGGTTCCAAAAGCCCCCTTTCCTTGCAACAAACAGTTCTCGGCACTCACAACACTTAACTTTTGTATGGAAAGAGTTGTTCTTATTTTCGAGTGCCAAAGCAGAGTTTAAGTAGGGAAATTAGGGTTTAGGAATTGGGAATTTCGAAACTAGGGTTCTTGGTAATTGGGTTTTCGAAAATAGGGTTAATTTGAAATTTAAAATGAAAAACAGATTGAAATAATCGATTATTTGGAGTGATAATCGATTAAAACAGAGCCAAATACGTCGAACCCAAACCTCTCTGGATTAATCGATTATTTGGTGAAATAATCGATTATCTGTACGGATCAATACAAAACAATCGATTATTTTGTTGTTTTAATCGATTAAAACAGTGAGTTTGTATAGAAAGTGTTTTCTCACTGTTTTAATCGATTATTTACCTATATAATCGATTAAAGCCGAGCCTAAATGATAAATTTGAGCTTTTTGAAGCTTTTAAGTTACAGACTATGTACCGGCTATCTTAGACTCTAAAAATACAGACTCAATCTTAAATAAAACAGAGTTATTACAATACAATTATCACCAATCTTCAATCTTCAATATTCTAAGTCTTTAGTTCTTGGATCATCATCAAAATCCATTCTTCATATTCATCAAGTGCAACATCAAGTCCTTGAATTGTCAACAAGCATCATATCATTCAAATTATACCAAAAGATAAAAAACATAGATCAAAACATATACATATAAAACAAAAGAAAAACATGTTTATAGCATATAAAATTATACATGTAGTTAGCGAAATATCACCTAGAAAAATCTCTTTCACTTGGGCGAAATCCCTTCTATAAATTTTTTTCTCTCTCTATGTTCTCGTTTGAGTGAGATATTGTTACTTAAGTGAGACAGATCCTCATTTTAATGATTAGTATTTTGCTTGAATAAACAAACCTATCTTAATTCATTAAATATCTCTTGCCTGTGTAAGAAATTCTCGATTGAATGAAAAATAAGCTCCCTCAATCTGGAGGTCTTGTCATTTAAGGAAAAATCTCTTATTTGAATAAAAGTTATGTAGATATTAAACTATACATACTTTCTCATGTAGTTCCAATCATAATTGAACCTACAAGAAGTCTTAACGACCATATTACAAGTAGTATGATTAATTTTGAGGGAGCTAAAATATATATTATTAATAAATAATAAATTAATATAAAAAAAATAAAAGAAGATGTAATTATGAGATTACAAAATTGTAAATATATAAATAAATATATTATTGATAATTAAGTAAAAAAAAGCTAAAATTATAAATATATATGAAAATTACAAAATATTAAAGAGTTATGACCCCTCTTAATTATTATATAGATGAATTATTAACTTCTCTTATATATATATGAGCTTTTTGTTTTTAATATTTTTACCAAAATTTTCAAATCTATCAGAATTTCAAACATGCTTAAATAAGACCTTAATTAATAAATTAAGCACACCAATATGACTCATAGTCATCTTTGCCCTCAGCAAATGGACACTCGCAAGTATGTCAAGTCACTTGCAAGATCCAACCCCATATGCAACTCACCAACAAAAAAGACAAAAAAAAAAATCCTACTTTAATAAAAATTTCAATCAAGTATAAGTCTTCCTCTTCTTACCATCTAACATTATGACATGCTTGGATAAAAAATATTGAGAAACGTCCGAGAAATCTTAAAGAAAAATTAAAGTTTATAAAAATATAAAAAAATAATAATCTTAAAAAAAATTTGAATAATTAAAATTTATTTATAATCTTTTTTAATAAAAGAGTAAATATTCAAATGTTATTTAAATTAATCATCCTCACTCTTAAACTAATAAAAATCCCAATCCTTAATATAAACATTCTTTAAGAAAGAAAAGAAATATAAAACATAAATATAACGAATAAAAAGATGACGAAATAAGATTTTATCCAAATAACTTTACTTTATGACAAATATAAATAATTAACACTGATTAAATCTATTAACTTTAACTTGTTTTTTCTTTCGATGAAGACTCTAAAAGTCATATGTACAATAATCATATTCAATAATTTACGCAGAATTTTATTTTTCATAATTTTCCTTATTCAATCAAGTCACATTATTTATAATATTCTTCTTCTTTTATCTTTTTTGTTGATATTACTAAAACTATGTCAGTTGATGATTAAAGACTTATTTCTTTCAAGATTTAGAAATCATTAAAGCAGATATTTCCTTTCCAAGAACTTTTATCTCTTTCTCATACGCATGACTAGAAATCAAATTCTTGACACAATATATTGAACCTCAAATATTTACGCGCTAATATGTTAGACTTTGTTAGTACTTTTTATCTCTTTCTCTCATCTTTAACATCCAAAATAAACGACTAGTGGTGCTCCTGATTTTAGTCTCATTATGACCATTCTCTTTGTACCAAAAGTAGCTGCACAGAAAGAAGCACAAGGTCAGTTTTCAAACGAATTCAAGATTGGTTGTTGGATAGGATTTTTTTTTCCTTTAAGAATCACCTGGCATCCAATAGTCATTAGGGACGTCATACTCATTGACCGTTTAACACGCACAAGAAAACCTTACTGTAGCGTTTTTTTCTATTCATATTCACACGCACAAGAGTAGAAAGCATAGTTTCCATTAGAAAAAAGAGTCCAATTACCTTTAAATAAAATAATTCACGAACACGCCAAAGAAACTAAAGCATCATCATTTTCTACTGGACTAGCAACACCCAGCATTCTTAAAGCAACCATTATTCATTTCACCTCTGCATTTCAAATTCTCTAAGAGTTACATCACTAATAAAATATACACACCACCCTAACCTTTTAGAAGGTCCCACTGCCCACTAGAAAAACTAAGCCCCATTATAAAAGCGCTTCCATCACGTTCCACTAACCCCCAACAATTGATACAAAAGGAAAGAGCATATCAAGTGAACTTCTACAATTTTTTTCCCTTTACATGAAATTTATCAAGATGGGATTTGCGTATATTTTGAAGGGCACTGACATCAAACCCTGTTTAGACAAAAGTTGAAAGAACGGCAAAAAGGAAAAGACTATGGCATCCTACTCTAAACGCAAATTGATACGGACCAATGACTAAGACTAAGGAGGTTTGGAACAGACAAATAACGCGTGGGTCCTAGCAGTATTAGGTGCCTTGATGGGACCACTGGATGGTGCACCAGTGCCAGAGGTCTGTCTATGAAGGAGGATTAGTTTCAGGTTTAATTATACTAGAGCTGTCTGATGGTTGTGACTGGTATATTGCTGATGCCAGTGAGATAGGCATGATGCAGAGTGCTTTTGATTGAAGAAACTGCATGGCAGCCCCAACATTTTCTTCCATGAGCTTAGCTACCTGTCTCTCTGTGCCATCATTTGACCACTTCTCCCACGCTGGCTGATTTCTTCCATCATTTCCTTCTTCCTGAGATACTAATTTGATAAATTGGAGAGAAACAAATCTGTGCCAACTACAAATTAGGTAGAATAATTACCTCAACTGATGATAATGGGACGTCAGTTACTAATGGTGCCACAGCACCAGCACCACCCAATCTACTCATGCTCAAAACCTGAAAACCAGATGAATAGCAGTCATTGAAAGTCTTCTGCACTCTAGTTTCATATTGTTGACAAGTTTGGATCCTATGAAATGCCTTCTGTCACTTTCATTTTGAAACAGTAAAATGTACCCCCGCACGTTTCAAGAGAAATCAATGAAATTGGCTTACTATTCATAACTACAAACACTGAAAATCAGCCTTTCCACAGGCGAAAAACAATTCAATCCACAGTTGAGACCCCTTGGATGCTATCGGATAGTTAAAGAAGCAATAGTATAAAATAGTGTGAAAATTCTATCATTTGATCGTATATATATATTCACTACTCAAATGAAAAAAATCCAAGGGGATAATGGGTACTAATCCAAAGTGGCAACTTAGGGTTCATTAAGCCAGATTGAAGGGGAAAGTGGTAAAAAACGCAAAGGTTAACAGGTTTAGCAAAATAAACTACAGATCAAACTAAAAGTGAGGTTAATTATTAATTATGATCTAATAAGGATAAACATCAAATGAAATAAATGTGAAATTCTCGCAGATCACAAGAGCATTAACCTTCACTTGAAGCCTTAAGAACTTGACATAATCCACAATTTCGTCCAGCATGACAGCTCTATCTGTCTGAACAGATACAATAATATCAGAAACGATGGAAAAAATAATACTGGATAGGGTTATGAGAAATGCGACAGATCACATGTTAGCAATGAAATCTCTATCATGAAAGACAGCATAGTTTAAATCTTCAAAAACTCTATTTGAACCACATTTAATCTTCAAAACACCAGTCATTGCATTCATAAACCACTGAATAATGCACTGTCCAGTGGTCACTTCAGATTCAAAGTAATTCAGTCTCATTAGGGAATCAATATGAAGGATGGGAAACAAACTTCCTAGATAAACCAAAAGTAATCACATTTTAATGGGATTTAAGCATTATATTTCAATAATCTTTTCCGTGCAAGAGTGTAGTACTGTAGATGGTTGTGTTCCAAGTTCTAACATCTAACCAAGTAAATAATGAAAATATCTAACAAGACAAATTACAGAATCAGTCAAACACACTCCTAGGAAATCTATATTTTAAGCACTCTTTGTTTCTGCTATTAATTGACAGTATCAGATTTTGTAAACGTGATATAAATATACTTTTCCATAAATTAATGAAGTGTGTCATTATAGGGTCTGGTAATGAAAACTTATCCAAGGAAAAGAATTCACAAGTTCTATAGATAAGTGTCAAGCTACATTTAGCAATAAAATTGCATATCCAAGAATACCTTGTTCACACTAGGAACAAGTTCTTGCAAAGCCCTGATTCTTTCTGCTATTTTCTCTCTTCGCAACTGTCATTGAATGGCAACATGAAGAAAAAAAATTAGCAAATCACAAAAATAACAAGGTGATTTTGTCATTATTTTGTTATTAAGCAATACAACAAGAAAATGGTCTGTATTCTTGGAAATATCCAGTGCCCACCCTTTCAGCTATACTGTGTGGATCTGTAGCTTGTCCTCTTCTAGCCCGCACTCTAGGTCGCACTGCCGGTGGATTTGGGGCTGTAGGAATAGTAGTTGGCATGGGTTGTCCATGAAAAACCTGCAAAATGGTTAAATATCAGCTTGAGAAAAAACATTAAAAAAACAAATCGCCCAAACTCAGAAAAAAACAATATTGAAATTTGTAAGTCAGCATTTATTCCCAAGATTAGTTGAAACCAAATAAAGCATATCTTATTTGATTTAGCTCCGGTTTTAATAAATTTCTCCAAAAGCACTCATAAGAGAAACAAGTTCAACCTATTAAGCTTATTTTATTTAGCTTCTCCAATGCTGACTTCCACTTATGCATAAGCTAGTTTAATTTATGGGAGAAGTTTACTTCATTTCAGCTTTGTATCTGTTTTTCTAACAAATGCTTATATGGAGCTGTTTATTCAAATATGGCCTTAAGATGTCAAAAGATTTAGAAAAAATCCACCCTAAGTACTAAAGCCAGGGCCTAAACACTATATCATAACTTGAAATGTTAAAGAAAAAAATCATTAAATCTTTGTTTGGTAGAGTGGAAAGATATATAGGGAGTGAAAAGAAAAAGAAAGGAAGAAAAAGAGGTAACAAAATTAGTGGAAATAGGGTGATTTGGCTGAAAATAAATTCAGAAAGTCCATGGAAATGAAAATTATTTTACTGAAAAAATAAAATAAAAACAGCCATAATTTGACTGTGTACTTTTATTTTCAAGCAGGATCCCCTCTATTGCAACATAGTTGAAACATGAAACATAATTCATTATGTTGCCAAGTATAAAAGGATTGTATTTAAAAATAAAAGCACATAATCTATAATGTGTCTTTATTTTCAAAGACAATCCCTTTTATATTTTGCAATACAATTAATTGTTTATGTTGCATCTTTCAGCATTTTTCTTCTCATTCTTTCATTCTTGCGCACATCGTTATTCTTTTACCCAATGTCGATTTTTGAACATTCCTCTCATCTCCACTCAACCAAACCACCACCACTACTCCTTTTCTTTCTCTTTCTTTCCTCACTCCCCCTCTTTCTTCTCATCCAAACTCAGCAACGGGCTACCACTGCTATTAGACCCCAATCTCACAGTCCATAATATCTAGTCACAATTCATCCATCTTCAACTTAAATTCTTATCTATTAGTCATACCCAAAGTCAAGTGTTACCAGGGTTATCTACTCATGAAATACAGAAGTTCAATAAGAGCAACTGTTGATGATCATAGCGTCAACAACAAAAGGAAGCCGCCAAAAATTTTGTTACTACACTACTCTATTAGTTGATGATCATATCCCAAAAGAGAGAGAAATTAAATATATATATATATATATATATATATATATATATATTAATCCATAAAATTATAATATAGGAAAGTTTTACGGAGGAGAAAAAAACGAAAATATTGTGTTACGTTCTTAGGCCTGGTATCAATGACGTCGTTGCGGAAGCGGTTGCTGCTTCCAGAAGCATCTTCGGGCGAGAGGAAGCCTCCCTTACCTTGGTCCAAGCTGAGGCCCAGTTGGTAGGGCGGCGCGTGGAAGGCAGCTCCGGCAGCGAGGTGGGTGGCGGCATCGCCAGAGTTGAGCTGGAGCATTATCGGAGAGGCATCGGCGGGGCCAGCGGAGACGAAGGGGGTGAGACCGAGGATTTGCTCGAGGAAGTCGTCGGTGGGAGGTTCGGAAGGGTGATTGGCCATGATGATGACTCGGTGGGACTCGGACGAGTTGGGGAAACGAGTTGAAGAGGAGCCGAATGGGGTGAAATAGAAGAGAGGAATGATGGTGATGATGATGTGTCTACATGAGACGAGAGAATTGGAGGAATTGCTGTTTGTGTTTTTGGGGTTTGTCTCTGCTTTCTTTTTCCCCCCTACTCAGTTCTCACTTGGCAGTAGAAGTGATGCCAAGAGCAAGGTGGTTTGGCTTTATGCAGTTTTAAGAAATAAATAAAATATACTCTCGTCTTTCTTATTAAATGGGACTGATTTTTCCATAATTTACAGTTCGCACCACCAGTACTTTATACAATTCGTTAATGAAAACTGTTATTAGAAGCAACATGAGAAATCAAATTTTTTCTTGCAAATTTAATTTTCATTTTTCGAAACTAAAGTTTAAAAACATACCTCAGTTAATTTAATTTAAATGTTATTTAGTCTTTTACTACATAGTTTTTAATAAAAAAAAATTCGTATTCAATTTATGTCTGTAGTTTAAATAAACTTGTCTTAGTCTCTTCTCTATCCCAGAAAAACTCGCATTAAAAATATATAAGTCATTTATTTATTTTTTATGATATTCTTGAATTAAATTGAATTTTAAATCCTGTAATTAAGAGTGAAACTTATTATTCAAATGAACTTGCATTTTTTAATGGTTTTAAAACAACTAAAATTTGCACATGAAGTTTATTTTATGTCATTTGGTTAATGAGAAAAAAAAATTCAATTTACTCCATTTTGTTAGAGACGAGAAAAGTCATGTCGTTTATTTGTTGGAAGTTTGATCAATATCACACCACACTTAGATTACTTCAAACTTATTCACTGAATAAGTTAATTTAATAATTTGTTTTAAAAATATGTCTAATAGTAACAATTTTTTTTTTAAATATGTCTAATAAAAATCTTAGGCATCAAGTCTTTTAAAAAAACAGGTATTAAAATAAGTTTTATTTATAATATTAATATTATTATTGTTGTATTGAAAATTTAGTATCATATTATATATTTACTGATCTGTTTAATTAAAAGCTGTAACGCTATATAAAAGTTTGGACATGTTAATTTATTTAATGGTAGGTCTATAGGTTTATTAACAAATTTACTCTATTGTAAAATTATATATATATATATATATATATATAATTTAAAAAATAATATATATCAAACTTTAAGGAAATAAAAATAAAAAGAAAAAGAGTAATAAGTAAGATGGTTTAAATTCAGAAAAAAAGGAAAATTAAAATAAATTTATTTATTATTTTTTAATATCTTTTATTTAAATATTTTATTTAATTAACTTATTATTATTATTATTTTATTAAAAAAAAGGAAATTTTTGAGAAAAAGTATGTTTTATATTACAATATTTTAAAATTTTCTCTTTAAATAAACAACATTTTCTCCCATCAAAATAAAAGAGCGTGTTTGTGCTTTGTTCCGTTCCACGAGGCTACCCAGCTTCTTTCCGTAATGCACAAATGGTTCTTCGTACACTTTCCGTATTGAACCAATGCTTCTTCGTACACGCACGGATACATTTTACAATATAAACATTTCAAATGTCATACATAATAACATTAGCAAAATTGATTTTAATATCAATGATAAGAATGCATATATTGTAAAATATTTAATTTGTTTATCGAAACGCTTAAAATATCACTTACCATAAATATGTACTGAATAATTTTACATAGAAATGACTTCTTTGTGTAAGTATGGTCTTAATTAAAATTGTTTTAAGAATCTCGTCATTTCTGAATATTTGTTTTACAATAAAACGTGTCACAGATATAGAAAACCAATATCATAAGTCATGTGAGATTAAATTTACTTCACATATCTTTTACAATTTAGAAAAGAAAACATGGTCACATATACAAAATATGTCTATCATGATTGATAAGTGTAAATTAAAGAATTTTTTTCCCAATTTGCACTTTTTAACCATAGATTTTCCAAACAATCATTCTTTGTTCCATTAATACTAGGGAAATCGAATTCAGACACGTGTTTTTTTAATATTTTTAAATAAATAAATAAATATATATATATATATTTATATATTTTAAACATTTATTTATAATTTTATAAATATAATAAATACATACATATTTAATAAATATATATTTATATTTTTCTATATACATGACAACTTCAATAAATATAATATATATATATATATATATATATATATATATATAATGATAACTTTATTAAATATGATATCCATTTTAATCTTAATTTTTGTTAACTTCGATCTTTGGAACTTCTTCTTGTTATCGGAATTGGGGCAAAGTTATGGGTCTTAGTAGGATAGTCAATAATCTTCATGTCTAATTCCTAAACAAGTTATCATATACTTTATTGACTACATCCAACCTGTAGATATGATTGTTATACATAATAGTATTTTAAAGTATACCATTATTCTTGTTAGAATATGGTTGTTGTGTGGTTAATCGGTAGTATAAACTAGGAAGAAATTGTGACATGACTTGTAATAATCTAGACAATTTGTTGAATGATTCTTCCCAGTTGTCGTAGACATTTTCAATTACTTGTTGTTTTGCCAATCAAGTCTTTCTATATGTCAGAGTGAATCAACTAAGGATTTGATATGAACAATAATAGTGGCAATAAGGGTAGAAGGGTCTGTGTCCACAATTTCATGAATATGTTGTGAAATTATGTGTGACCCTAACTTATTGTGGTTGTAGAGCCCAAATCTTGCTCGACTTCTCAATAAAGATCAGAAGATTTCTATTTTGAAAATGGGTAAAGCTCTGTTGGACATCTAGCAACATCAACCGGCTTTCGTCCAAGGAAAGAATAGTTTTTTTGAAGAAATAAAAAGTGGAAATATGAAGAAACACTTGGGATGACCGTCCCACATTCCAGATGATCGTCCCAAGTGAGTTTTTAACGCTGAGACGCACGTCCCAACCAATTTAACACATTGGGACGACCGTCCCAAATGTTAGACGACCGTCCCAACCCATTTTTGCACTTGGGACGCCCGTCCCAAATGTCTAGACGACTGTCCCACCTGACAGAAGTTGGGACAGTCGTCCTAACAACGTCCAACTATAAATAGGGGTCTCATTTGTAGCTTTTTCACACACCTTGATTCACAATCACTTCTCTCCATTCTTATAGTACTCGAATGATCTTTCTGATTGCCTATAAGGTAACAATAAGTTAAGGAAATCTCTTTTTGAGATATCCTACATTTGATAGTTTAAAGTTTTTCTTGTATTCGGGAGAGGAGAGTCCTTATAGTGCGAAATGATAGCCAAAAAACATCCTCAGAGTTGAAGATTTCTAACAAAGCTTGCTTTGGAGGTTCTTTTCACTACTCTTCTCTTTTATTGCTTTATTTATTGCTTTCCTATATGCAATAGAGATAAGATCATGTAGATAATCATTTTTAATATCACATAATAAATAGGGTAATATCGTAATTTCTCATAATCTTTATTTTATGAATTAATCCGTCATAAGGAACCCGCAATGAGCGTTGTGAGGGTGCTAATATCTTTCCCACACGTAACTAACTCCCTTACCTAACTTTGATTATAATGACCAAGTTTGGTTTTTCTTAAAATCAACGTCTTTTTATCCTTTTTCCAATGTTTATGATAAAAACATTTGTGGCGACTCCATAAAATCTTTTTAAGAAAACCTCACTTTTATTAAAGATTAGTTCAATTGATGAACATTTTGAAAGCGATGATCATATTTTTACAAAAACGCGAGTCTATACCATCTTATCGCAACCGGTCGCATAAACGTTCGTAACGTCTTGAGACATCGGAACGGACGGCGGGGACAGATGGCGAATCCACTAAGGAAGCTAGAGAGTTGATCCCATTTAGTGATGGATAAATTCAAACTAAATAGAAATTTGAAATTACGCCTTTATCCTTCCTTGTATTTATAACATGTTTTATTATATGACTTTGATAACTGTTGTATGATTATTTTTATGTAATTGGTTGAAATACAAATTGTACACAAAAATCCTTGCACAAAACAATCCCTCTATACCAGGGGGCAAGAGTGAATAACTTTAGGGAGTGGGTGGCAAATATGACCGGTTATGTTGGCACACGAGGCTACAGCCGTTGTCGGAAACCACTAACTCAAGGTGATAACTCTCTTCTTTTGGTCTAAGGACGTCGACACGGAGATCCGTGCATGGTCCAAGGATTGAGAGATTGAGAGGTCCCTATAATTGGGACACCTTGGGAGCCTGACTTCGGTTAGAACAGTTTATAACCACCTTAACCATGCACTTTTCTGCAGGAAAATCCTACCTTGTGATTAAACGTAGTCGCTCTGTTCATGGATGAGTGAATTGTGTGTGCATTTGTTTGTTGCATTTGTTTGATGCATTTGCATAGATAATCATACAACAGTTAAAACAAAATAAATAAAAAACTTAAAAAGAAAATAAGAATAAATTAACCTTATCTCGGACGAGTCTTCATTTAAGCTAGCCTGGTTTCAGGTTCTTTGTAAGCTAAGTAGTCACGTTAACCAACAAATGAGATAAAGAGTTGTAAAAATAATTTGAAAAACAAAAAATAATAAAACAATTTTTAAAACAACAAAAAAATTATTTTAAAATAATAAAAAGATCTTGACAAAGTTGTGTCATTCATACTGCATCATCCAATAAGTGGTAAAATTATGAGAGAAAATAAATGCATTAAGGAAAGTATGCATAAGCATCATCATAATAAAATCTCTCATACATAAGCACATTCATTCTAGGGGACATTAGATATCCTTATACAAAAGCAAAAGAGACCCAAGTGCGTTCGTAACCTTCCCCTAAAGAAGGATGAGTGTGCTAAGGTGTATTAGTGACCTCTAAAAAAGGAACTATCACACCAAGATGGGTATAGTATTTCCTAAAGCGTAAGCTTTCAGGAAAATACCAAAGCTATTGTCTAAGACATATCTATCCCAACTAATAATTCATAATAAAAAAAGCTATAATAAAATATTTAAATCATTTAGAAAGTGGCTGGTCTTCTGTCTGTCCTCACTCGCGCTCGAAAAGCTAAGAAAATGGAACAACTTAAAGAACAAAATCGTAAGCTCACCACCGAGCTTAACTCGCTAAAGGAGCAAATGACTCAAATGATGAAGATGATGCGTCAACAACATCTCCACAAAGAAGATCCTCACAATGATCATGCCTCTCACCATGAGGAAGAAGAGGAACCCATCTTTGAACATGAACAGGGAGTTCATGTCCAATATGACAGGAGGGCAATACATATCAATACTCTTGAAGTCTCAAAGCAACAGATTACTGCCCTTGAAGAGAGGCTAAGGGCCATGGAAGGGCATAATTTCGACGTCAAAGAAGCGGCTGACATGTGCCTTGTAAAGAATATTCAATTTCCCCAAAAGTTCAAAACTCCAGATTTCCCAAAGTACATGGGAATGACTTTCCTAAGAGCCATCTTACAATGTACTGCTGTAAGATGGTTGCATATGTTGATAACGAAAAGCTCCTAATTCACTGCTTTCAGGAGAGCTTGGCTGATTCAGCTCTAAATTGGTATATGCAATTAGAAGGAGGACAAGTCCAGACTTGGAGATAGTTGGCAGACACCTTCCTCCATTGCTAAAAATATAACATGGACCTGACCCTAGATAGGTTAGATTTACAACTACTGAACAAAAAGAGCGACGAGTCCTTTAAAGCCTATGCCCAACGCTGGAGGGAGTTGGCCGCCGGAGTTGACCGCCCAAGTAGAGCCACCTCTGTTAGATAAAGAAACCACGTCCATGTTTATCAATTCCTTGACTGATCCCTATTACGACAAAATGATAGGGAACACGTCGACTCTTTTTGCGGATGTGGTGACCATAGGAGAAAGAGTGGAGCAAGGGCTGAAAAGTGGAAGAATTGCGCAACCTTCCTCATCTAATGCAACATTTAAGAAGTCCGTGGGTAAAAAGAAGGAGGGAAGCGTAAATGCTATCAATCTTACCTCTCCTTCTTCCTCTTCGCAGCAGATTAGGTCACACAGACAGGAGAAGAAATTTACTCCTTTCCCAACCTCCTATGGGAATCTACTGCCGAAGTTACTGGATGCCAAGCTCCTAGCGCGCGTCCCTCCAAGGAAGATGGATCCACCTTACCCAGAATGGCATAAACCAAATGAGAAATGTGATTGCCATTCGGGTGCTCCAGGGCATTCCATGGACAACTGCTTGACCTTAAAGTATAAGGTCCAAGAATTATTGGATGTTGGGTGGATCACCTTCGATGCTCCTACTCCCAAGGTGGATGACAAGCCTCTATTACAACTAGAGTGAAGGGATGAGATAGAGAAGTCCAACTAATTAGGGCTCCTCATATTGTGCATCTTTTGACTAAAAAATTAATAATAAAATAATATAGAAACTTCAGATGTATCTCTTGTTGTCCCTGCTCGTGGCCACGAGGGTTTTTGATTAAAATGGCTTTGTACATATTTACCTTTAATCAAT